CGGCGGCAGCCGCTCCTCTAAAATCCTTCTGGCCTCTTATATTCCTTCTCCCCCCGACCCTTCTCTAACTTTTGCTCTGTCTCACCCTTCTCCTCGTCTGCCCTGCTGCCCCTGCTCCCTCAAACAAAGTCCAAAGTGTTATTGCTCAAGTGATTTAAAATAAAACAACAAATGCAGATGTCCTGCCCCAGTGCATGGAAGGCAATAGGTATCTCTTCAAGAAGCAGAATCCCTCTGGACCGATTTAACTGCTTCTTGCCTTTACAGCTGTCCAGCCTCATCCGAGCCTCAGTTGAGGTTCAAGAGATTTTCCCAAGTAGCCATTTAGCTGCCCATTGCCTTTGCCACTCAGGATGGGGACAGGAAAGCACTGCGCAGATGACAGCACTGTTCCAGCTGGTCCTGCCCCAGGGCCGTTCCCCTCCCAGCAGCTCTGTGCCAGGGCACACAGTGCAAGCACTCCTCATCTGCTCCAGAGTAAAGCCCGCCCAGTCTGCTCAGACAGACATTTAAACTAAGCCAGCAGGAGACATTTAAACAGGAGACATTTAAACTAAGCCAGCTGAAATTGCAGCAAGGGCCTGACAGGTGATATCTCCAGAGGAGCCTGCTGCCCTTCTAGGATTGTTAATGTTGCAGGTGCTCAGGGGAGCCAAGGGAAGAGGGAGCATCCAGGCAGCAAATGCTAACGGGATTCCCCCTTCCTTCCAGATCAACTTCATCTTTCTGTTCAACATCGTCCGAATCCTCATGACAAAGCTCCGAGCCTCAACCACATCCGAGACAATCCAGTACAGGTAAGAGTGCACCTGAGAGATGATGACTAGCAGGGTGTGGATTTTGGAGCCAGTGGCATGGAGGGAGAGGCAGCTAAAAGCTTCTCACATGCTTCTTGGAGACACCCGACCATTGCATCTGGGGGTATCTGGAAATCCTGGCCCGAGCAAGCTTTAAATTAGAGAACACGAACAGCTGGATCTGCCTTTGGTGGAAGAAACTGGGAGCTGAACTCTTTGCAAAAGCCTCTCCTGATGGGATCTGATCAGCTCACCAGAGTCGGACCTGCAAATCCTGGCACAGAGGTGAGAATTAAATTGCCACTTGGCAGCAAAGCAAAGAACAAGGAAGGAGGAATGAATCAATGCCACCCCAAGAACCTGCTTGTGAACCTGTAAGGAAAAGGCAGTGGTTTCACAAGCAAATGACAGGAAGATTTAATCCTTTCCTCCTGGGGGATAGTTTGCAGATGGTTCAGGAGCTGCATGGTCAGAGCATCTCTCCAAAGCACCTGGAACAGGAAGGTGCTTTGGTCTTCTGCAGAGCTTCTGTCAGGTAATTTTGCAAATAAGAATAAGTGAATCTCTGTCAAGCTGCGTATTGAGTGGAGTGAGGCAGGTTTAGGGTGGAGGGTGGTTTTGTTTGGAGTTTTTTTGTTTGTTCGTTTGGGGGGATTTTTTTTCAGCTAGAACCATAAAAGCTCAGATGCTGTTACTGAGAAATGCCAGCTCTTCTCACTGCAGGGTTTTGAGTTGGGGTGAACCATTCAACTGAAAAGAAAGAGAGAAACACAGATCAGAGTTTATCAAAATAAAACAGGCTGGTTGGCCTCCATAAGCAATTTTGAGGCACTTTTCCAGAGTGCGAGTGGGAAAACTTTTCACCTTTGGGCAGAAGAACTGTTACATTTCCCAGAAACATTGTGTGGAACAGGAAAACTTGAACAGTGTGGTAGATTATAAACTGTGCAGTCCTGCCTAAACCAGGCATGGGATAGCACTGGAGGGCTGCTGCTCACATTAGACCCCAGCCTTTGGGAGCAACCCAGTTAAAAAGCTGGTGCAACCCCCACCACCACAACAGCTGCCCTGGGGAGGTTAGCCCACAAGCAAGTCCTGTCCCTTATTTTTAATCTCAAATTCCTGGTTCCTGCTCCACCTCTGTTTGCTGAAGTACCCTGGCCTATTGCATCCCATGCCAAGAGCAGGATCCATTGCCTCAGTCTATAGGCCTCTAAACTGGGAGAATTTTAGGCAAAGCTGCTCCTTTTCTAGCACTAGGCATGGGGAGTCCCAGCCTTGTCGTTCACTTAGCTTAGTTAAGCCAAGTACATCACGACTGTTCCTCTTTGAGGTGGGTTTTCCACCCACTCATTGCATCACCCCTCTGAACCCAGCCAGTTTCTTGCTGGACCTGGGCGCTGCTCTCCAACAACCTCTCCGACGCTACCCCAAATAGCCTGTGTCCAGAGGCAGTTTCTGATCCTGGACCTTCAACAGCATTACAAGCTCCAGCTGCTGCCCAAGCCTCTGAGTTGCTCTTCAGGGCCAGCTCACACTCGGTTGTTTCCAGCTCCTCAGGTCTCTGTACCATCTGCCAGTTTGTTTTGGTGAAAATATGGCTTTCTTCCAGTTCAGCGAGACAGCCACGGACCAGCACAGGTCCTACGACTGGTGCCTGTAGGAGCCCATCCCAAACCACTGGGGGATGATTTTTCCCTGTGCTAAGCTACAGTTGGGATCTGTATGTTAACAAGCGTTTTAAGGAAAAAAGTGTTGACTTTGCATTGTTCTTCTTCCCTAATCAAATGAACGAGATATCAAGAGTAGATCCTTCCAGGAGTCTCCTGCATCAGCACTACATTACTTCTACAAACCAAACTTGTAATCTCATCAAGAAGAGATATCAAATTAATTAGATGAGATCAGTTTTTCATAAACCCATATTGATGGATAGGAATTATTTTAACCTTCCTTAATTCTTTTTTAATCAAGTCCTATAATAGCCAGGCAGTCATTTCACACAAGCTCAAGGTCAGGTCTTTTCTATCCACCTCCCTTCCTGGATGGAAAAACCAAAGCACGAGATCCAAAAGGCAAAGGCACCTTCGCATCCCACTGTATTTCACCTTGCAAGAGCTGGTCAGGTTCTCCAAAGTGCTACACGCATACACCAGCCCAGCCACTTCCAGCCTGCGTGATCCAGAAACCATCATGAGACATCAGCTCCCTCCAACGAGGATGAGCCCAGCTCCACTTGGTCCTCCCCCAGCCACTGGTTTGCCTTGCCTTGACCAGCCCAACCAGTCAGCCATGCCTAGGAAGGGGACAGGGATGGTCCTAGAGCTGGGGCTGTAGCTCAACTCTGTTTCCTCCCCAGAAAAGCTGTCAAGGCCACTCTGGTGCTGTTGCCCTTACTGGGAATCACCTACATGCTGTTCTTTGTCAACCCGGGTGAGGATGAGATCTCCAGGATCGTCTTCATCTACTTCAACTCCTTTCTGGAGTCCTTCCAGGTATAGTCCCTGCCATTGGTAGTGGTGTTGCCATGCCAGTCCCCCAAAGCATGTGGCATCAGTCAGAAAAAGGGTCCTTCCGCACCCCACTCCTGCCACCTTATCCCGCCTGAAAGCAGCAGTGACCTCCCCTGGTCCCAGGGTTGGTCCAAGGCACCTATGTTGACACAAAGTCCCACATGCTGGTGGTGACTCTGCTTCTCTTCTCCTTCCCTCTTGCAGGGCTTCTTCGTCTCCGTCTTCTACTGCTTCCTGAACAGTGAGGTGAGTGCGGGGCCGGGGACACACGGCAGCCTCTCAGGGCACATCCATGCAGTTCCTTGCGCACAGACGCAAGTTCAGTTTGAGGCAGCTTGAGGGGCTCCTGCCTCTGCACTGGGTCTGGTGCATCAGCTTGGAGGGAGTTTGCACCCAAGCACGCAGCATCTGAACTTCCCTGGTAGAGAAAGGGGACTGGGATCCAAATCCAGCATTGGGGACTAACGGCCAGGGTGAGACAGGGTCTCTTCAGTGCTGGAGAAATAAGTTCCCCAGCTGAAGGTATTTCCAGCATCAAAGTCAGAACTTTATCTCCAGCTCCAGCCACATCCATGGGGAGCCTCCCACACTGAGCACTGCTGCTGGTGGGAGCCAGCAGAAAACAGGCCCGTGTTTCTCATAGGAAATTTAGGAGGCTTTTCCAGCTCCTTGTGGTTTAATTCGCTTTTTGTGAGAATTGCCCATGAACAGCCCTTCCAAAACAAACACAGCTGACAGCTTCCATGGCTTCACTGTTTGGAAAGCTGTCTCTATCTTTTAAACATTATTTTGCTGAGGTTTATCATTTGTTGTGGCTTGTCTGGTTGCTTGGTTTGGTTTAACAAGAAGACTCAGCCTCCAAAACACAAGAAATGGAGAATTTTTGCTGCCTTCTTCCCATGAAGTGAATGGGGCTCAGCTCTTGACAAAAATTTCTGCAAAAACAAAACATCTCACAGAAAGTATGTTTCCCTGTGTTTCCTCCTGAAAGTTTCTCTTTGGAGAAGGAAAATCCACATCCAAGAACAGTCCCTCTGGGACATGCATCCATGTACCCCTACCTTGGCCACTCTGTCCCTCATGTATAACTTTCCCTAGGATGAACCCTGCGCACCCATGGGTACCAGGTACACAGGGACAGGGTCACCTCCCAGCCTCTGACCCACAGTTCATACAGCAAAGAGCAAAGAAGGCAAGAGCAGAGGCATGTGGTACCTTGGGGCCGATCATTTGGGCAGGTCATTCCTCTGTGTCCTTGCAAATGCTCTTACACCTTCGCTAGCTGTGAGGCTCAACGGCTGAGCACTATCAGCAGAACCAGAGATGCTCCCCGCATCACATGCAGTGTCTGAGACACCAGCTTTTCTTCAGCGTGCCCAGCCAGATTTACCTCTCCCTCTCATTTCCATTTCACGCTTGGCGGCACCAGCAGTCAGGTTCACCTCTTGCCCTTTGAAGTAGAACTGCAAGGGATGGATTTCACAGGAACTGCATCAAATAAGGCCAGGTGTCTTGGGACCTGATGGGTACTGCTGGGACCTTTGCCAACCGCAGGCCCAAGCTGTGCTGGGTTTTAGTGGTGTTTCTAATAGAAAGGCTGAGGGCAAGGACGGCCAATGCTCATGAGCAATATCTGAGCTCACTTTTGCTCCTGGACCCCCGAAAAGTGGGACCAGAGAAGAGGAGCAGGCAGCAGGACATCTGGGTCCCCATTCAACCGTGCCCTGAGCCAATGGGGAGTCCTAGGCTCTCCTTTGCCACAGGCAGATCATCCTGCTCTTTCTGTAGTCCCAGGGGTTTTGATGGAGGGAGGGGGCAAATCGTTTGTGTGATTTGACCTCCAATATAACGTAATGCAATATAACAGCATTTGCTGTTTGCTTCCCACTAGTTTTCACTTGTTAAATCAGATGAACCACTGTGGTGCCTCAGTTTCCCCCCGGAAAAGTGGTGCCACTATCTCAATTACTGTTCCCCCTTGCAGCATCCAAGGCTCAGTTAACATCTCTGCGGAGTGCATTGCATGCAGAGGAGGCAGTTTGGCGGCTGTGTGGTTACTAAATGTTCCCTCCCCTGTGTCCTGTCCCCAGGTCCGATCTGCCGTGCGGAAGCGGTGGCACCGTTGGCAGGACAAGCACTCCATCCGGGCCCGCGTGGCTCGGGCCATGTCCATCCCCACCTCGCCGACCCGCGTCAGCTTCCACAGCATCAAGCAGTCCACGGCCGTGTGAGCCACGAGGGAGCCACTGTCTGGGCCAAAGGAGCCGTGTCTTCTTGGGGCCACCATGTTGCAGCAGAGCATGGCATGGGAGCCAGGTCCTTCCCATGTTGCCTGGTGTCATTGCCGAGCGGAGGACAGGGTGAGCTCACGGGAGCTATGAGAAAGCCTAAGGCTGCTCACTTCCAGCTTTCCAGGACTGCCGTGTGGGATGAGACAGCCAAGACTGCTTCTTCATCTCCCTAACTGTTGCTGGAGCTGGAAAAGGAACCTCAGGAGCCCAGAGAAATTGCAGCTGCCTCACCAGCAGCCGTCACGGCCTCCCTGCGGGCCTTTGCCCAGGGCATGAGGCCCCCAGGTTGCACTGCTGTCTCCCTTGGGCTTGTCCCAGCTCTTCACCTGGAGCAGGCTGACCGACTGCTCCAAGGGGTCAGGATACAGGGCCACCACTGGGATGGTTCTGGAGTCAATCCCTTGGGAAATCTGTGCACGGCGCCTCGTCCCACTAGTCCTATCGTGACATGTGGGGAAAGCTCAGTCAACCTGCCAGCAAGTGCACACCAGGGATGCTGCACCGGTGGGCTAGAATCTTGTGGGTTGACCGGGGATGAACAGAGAGCCCTGGGCTGAGTCTAGACTTTGCTTTACATAGCTGCGTTTTTATACTACGGGGTTTATTCCTGTCCATATGCCCACACCTGCCCCTCGCCATGTCCCCAGTAGTCCAGGGCAGCCCTTGCAGCCCTGGCTGCTCCTCCCCAAGCAGCGGGACGTCCACGGGGGTCTCATATCCGTTACCCTATCCGACCATTTTCGTTGCTCATTTTAGCATGGAGGATGCAGAGCAGAGCAGAGCCTCAACTGGAGAAGAAGTTGAGGTCCCCACACTCAAAGGTTGTCCTTTCCCATTAGGGCACTAAGCAACCAGCATAGCACACTGGGCTGAACTGGGGTGAAGCCTCCCATCTCTCCTGGGCCTCTTTTCTCTGCCAAAAATGAGGCTGTGCATTTATTAATTTTCTCGAGTAGAAACCCAGCTCAGCTTAATCATCGCTTCTTGCTCAGGCAGCACCTCCTGCTCAAGAGGTGCCCCAGGTCAGAGGCAGAGCCGCTCTCTGCCTGACGCTGCTCCCTTGAGCTCGCGGCTTAGGTCCAAGCCTCCTATTCCTGCAAGGAAAGGGCCCCAGGGCCAGCTCAAGCCCAGGTGAGGAGCTCTGGTGGCCAGCCTCCCTCCACCTGGGCTTGAAAGAAGCGGAAAACCCATTT